CTCTCTCTCTACTCTCTCTCGTCACCTTCTGTGGTGCAATGAAAAGCTCATCCCATGCTCTCTCTCTCTCTCTCTCAGACCCACATCTGTAGTCTAATTATAAATTAACAGCCGATTCCATTTACTAATAATCTGAACGTTTGAACATTAGAAAGATAATTTTTTAAAAAAATTATTATTAATAAAAAATCGAGACATTCTTACTTATTATTAATAAAAAAATTTTAAAAAAATAAAAAAGATCATTACGAGGATAAAACATTTTACATTAGTCTAAGAGAAGAAGTAGAAGAAGATATATAGTCATCGATTGATTTATTTCTCATCTTCCTTTCGGAGTCTAAATCAGAAATCAATACTCTTTCTTTCCTAAGACATTTAAATCAGATTTGTGCCTTTATTCAGGCCAACTTCCATCAAGAGGTCTCTTTTGGAAGCACAGTCGTGTAATAAACAGAAATTTTCATTCATTCATTCATCAGTTAATAATCCATTTGTCATCATATCTATTCAAATCACTATCTTTAATTGCATCAGTCCAACCTCACAAGCAACTAAAAATTCCCCAACACAAGTCCACATGCCACCCTCAATTAATTAATAATAACCCATTTCCATTTCAAGTCTCTTCTTAAGCACAACCTTTTGCCTCCCGACAACCACATCAACAACGGTCAAGTCTCTGAGAGAGAGAAAGAGAGAGAGAGAGAGAGAGAGAGAGAGAGAGAGAGAGGATTTTGTGAATTCTTTAGAAATTATAAATAAAAAATTAAATATTTTAATTTGACTAAGGATGTTGTTTTATATGATGGAATAACATTAAATAACTGAAAAAGATTTATATGAACGAATCTCAAATTATTGGGATATTATTTATGGGGGCAGAAATTATCAAAAAATGGAAAATTCTTATTTATCTAAATATCTCTTGAATGAAAAATGCCTCTTTGATGGTTGACAGACAATAACGACAGTCATATTTATTTTCTTTGGAGTTTTAGGGTTTGTTTACAACAAAAAGTCCGACCCGTTGCGTACGAACCCAATCAATTTGAACAAAAAGTAGCCGTTAGGGCATAGGTCGAACCGTCGGACCGTCCAGATGAGATCCAACGGTGAGGATTCGCTAGCCGTTGGCTTTAGACGCGACGGGGGGAAGCATCTACGGACACACACCCATTCTTCCCGTGCCAAAAATCCCTCTTTCTTCCCTCTCTTGTTCCCAACTCCCCCTTTAATTCCCCCTCCTCCCCTCTTTGGTCTCTCCCGAACCCCAACGACGAGAGAGAGAGAGAGAGAGAGAGAGAGAGAGAGAGCATTAAATCTGCATCGATCGCCCCGATCCATGGGGGATGCAGCTTGATCGATGCCCTCGCTTCCCGATCGGAACCCACAGCGAGCTGAGGGCTGGGATCTCCGAGAGGCGGACCGATCGAATCGAGGGAGGAGAGGTTTCGAGGTTCCTATCCGGTTCTTGATATTGTATTTTTGTTGGTTCTTGGCCTTTGATCGGACCTCTGTAGTGGGATTTGGGAGATCGGTGTGTAGATCTACGAGGGCAAAGATCGGTTCTTGATTGTGGTCTCTTGATCTGTGGCCGAGGGGAGATGGATCGAGTCGACGAGAACGGTCGAGGCATGACGAGGCCAGCGAGTTTCCGAGGTTCTTTGGGTCGTTGATTTCAAGATTTCGGATGCTGGAGTTCGAAATCTTGGCTGCGGAGGACTGATCTCTTTTTTTTTTCTTCTTCCTTGTAGTCACAGATACGGGCAATCGAAGAGCTTTAAGAGATATAAGGAATGTGGTGGGAGCGCCACCATATGCTTGTCCGATCGGAAAGAGGGGATTCCCGGAGTAATGCATATAACTTGGACCTCGTCTTTGGTTAATTGATGTCTCCTCTTGATCTAATTTCTTCTGCCATCTTTTCTTTCAACAGCAAGGGTAGTTTAGACGATAAGAAACTAACACTTGTAGCTCGACGGCCCGCGACAAGGTTGGGTTGAACCTGATCTTTGTTCCCCTTTCCGATTCTTGTATGATTCTGCTCATAACTATTTGAGGGGTTGAACTTTTCAGGAAATTTGTGGCTACATTGGCAAGCAAATCACAACCTTATCAGCAAGTAATTTTGCCTAGCCAAATCATTAAGTAATACAAAAAATTGATTGCTTTCTTTGCTGAGGGATGCGATTTTGTTTAGGGAACTAATGGACAGCATCGAGAAGTTGGGAGTCAGAGCCAGTACAATCCTCCCGTACCATTGGTGTCAAAATCGAGTTGTTTGGATAGTTGTACTACAATAGACGTGGATTATAATTCTAGTAATGACATTGCGTTGCCCATGGTGGAAGAGATGGTCCGTTCTGAACTATCCCATATTTTCATGTAAATATTTCAAGTTCTATTTGAGAAATGGACTCCATTTGTGAGCCATTCTGATAGCAATCATTGTTGCAGGATAATTCTGACATCAAGGAGGTTGCAATGGACGATCTTGTCATTGAGACACTTCCAAGTATAGATATCTGCGATTCAAATAATCCACTTGCGGTCGTCGAATACGTAGAAGATATATACAGTTTCTATAGACAAACCGAGGTGCACATCTCATTATTTATCAGTTGTTTTGCTATAGATCATATGAAGATTAGATGACGGCATTCACTTTTCACTTAGCTCGATCATTATATATGAAACAAGGCATTAATGAAGAAAACTTACCGAACTACTCATTTTTGTCCTCAAGAGCTAATCTGTTGTTCTAGGCTCTCTTTTACAATCAAGCCATGTAAGAGTAGCATTCCGAGTTCTTTATCAAGATGTTTTTACTTACTTGAAATGTATTCAATATACTGTTCAGGTTACGAGTTGTGTGAGCCCTGATTACATGTCCCAGCAGTTTGACATTAATGAAAAGATGCGAGCTATCCTCATCGACTGGCTGATAGAGGTATTGGAGATTTTCTAAATATATACTCTATTTTCAGTAGCCATTTCGTTCATTCTCCACTTTCTTCGGTAACATCTGATCATTCTTCAATCTTTCCTCTACAGGTGCATTACAAATTTGAATTGATGGAGGAGACACTTTTTCTAACTGTGAACATCATAGATAGGTTCCTGGCAAGGCAGACAGTGGCAAGGAAGAAGCTTCAGCTGGCTGGTGTTACAGCCATGCTTCTTGCTTGCAAGTATGAGGAAGTCTCGGTTCCAGTGGTGGAGGATCTAATTCTCATCTCGGACCGGGCTTACACAAGGGAAGAAGTCCTTGAAATGGTAATGCTCTTGTTATGCTTATGCGGTTGATTGCTGCGAAGGCTTTGCATTTAGTTATGACACGACTCTAACAGAGAATAGCATTGATGGTATTGTATTTAAGATAACACATGGGCATGTTTCAAGGAGAGCTAAGAAAATCTTAGTAATACCACTAAAGGAGATTTGAATACTCCTGATTTGGTAAAAGTAATTCACCATACAAAAGTTGATCCTAGATAATTTCAACATTACTGTTACGTCACCGAATACATTGTGATTGGCTTGTGAATTTTGCTTATCAAATATATTGTTATTGGTTTGGTAACTTTTTTTCTTCCCTGACCTTTGCCTCTCTTCTGTCTTATGATGTTTTAATACAAATACAGGAAAAGCTGATCGTCAACACACTGCAATTCAATATGTCTGTCCCTACTCCTTATGTTTTCATGAGAAGATTTCTCAAGGCCGCCGAGGCTGACAGAAAGGTAAGACTTAGTTTTGGGCTTAGAATTGAATCAGCACGCAGATTTACATAAGAATGACAATAGGTTCTGACGAACGTATCCCTCTTTGCCTGTCGTACAAAACCAGCTCGAGCTACTTTCGTTTTTCATCATAGAGCTTTGTCTGGTCGAGTACAAGATGCTCAAGTTCCGCCCCTCTTTGCTGGCCGCTGCTGCAATCTACACTGCACAGTGTTCTCTGAGAGGTCTCAAGTACTGGACGAAAACTAGTGAGCTGCACAGTAACTATTCAGAGGACCAGCTCCTGTGAGTTCTCATCATCTGTGCCTCGCAAATCCCTCTTTCTATTTCTCGACTCCGGTTCTAACATTTATCGATTGTTGTCTGTCCCAGAGAGTGTTCGAGGTTGATGGTGGATTTCCACCACAAGGCTGGGCTAGGAAAGCTGACTGGAGTACATAGAAAATACACTACTTTAAAGTATGGATGCACGGCAAAATCAGAACCGGCCCTCTTTTTGTTGAACACTATTCTCTAGTGTCGATTGAACATGAGCAGGTGTTGTGAGTGCAACAGAAGTTGCTGGTCATGCAATGGAAGTTGCATAAGTACAAAATAATTGTTCTTGTGTTTATCCGATGATTAATTTTGTTATTTTTAACTTCTTGGAAGTCACATCAGCTGTTAATTGCTTATTCTGATATCAAATATGACGTTAAATTTGTGTAAAAATTTCATTTTCCAAGTGGCAAAAATAAGAAACATGAGCTGTAATCACCTATAATTTTCTCTTTAACATAAATTAATAATATATTATTTTATTTAAATTATTATTTTTTGTTTGTATAGTATGATTAAAATTATTTTTTAATTATCGAGATAAGTTAGAGATTTTATTAATCAAATTGAATTATCAATTGATTTATTTACTAACGAGTGATGTGATTTTTAAAAAAAGATAATTAAAATTTTATTTTTGTGCATGAACCATAAGAAATAAATATTATAATTCTATCTTTGTATGTTTGAAAATAAAATAAAAATAAAAATTAAATTATTATTTTTCTTTAAGGAGATCTCAGACTCTTTTATATAATGGGGTTCTTCTTTTCTCATTTCTCACCGAGTACAATAATTAAGAAATTAATTTTTATTTATATTTTAAAATATTTGATACTAGAGTTGTTATAATTTATATGATGCCTAATCATATTTTAATTTTAAAATTTTATAATTAATAAATAATAATTATTGAATTATGATGTTAAAATGATTAGTTAATTTAATTATAATTTTAATTCATTTAATTAGATATATTTATGTTTTAAGAAATTATGTGTGAATTTTAATGATTTAATTAGTTTTAAATTTAAAATTATGAATTTAAAATAATTAATTTATTAAAAATAGATTTGAGGTTTTAATTATTATTTTTTAAAAAATTATTTTTTTAAATTAAAATCTAATTTAATAAAAAGGCTCAAATTGAGGGCCTAACCTAAGTTAAAATGATTGATGAGGCCAACCCATGTGGCTAAGTCTGACCTAGTAACCCATGTGGTTAGTTATAACTTAACTTAGGTGGTTATGTATGATCCAACCAATGTGGTTAGGCATGATTTAACTTATGTGGTCAGGTACAACTCAGCCCATGTAATTAAGTATGACCTAGTTCATATGATTAAGTATGATCCAACCCCTGTCGTTAGCCATTATTCAGCTCATGTGGTTAGGTACAGCTCAACTCATGTGACTATGTTTGACTCAATCCATGTAGCTAGCTAAGTGACGTAGCTTATATGGATATGTACGATTTAACCCATGTAGCAAGATACAACTCAACTCATGTGACTAATTACGATCCAACCCATGTGATCAAGCATGACCCAACTCATGTGGTCAAGTATAACCCAACCCATGTGATCAGGCAAGACTTAACATGCGAGCAAATGTAACACAGTTTAGTGGTATGACTTAGCCTAACTCGTGAGTGAAGCTCAACCTGACCCATGATGCTAAGTTTGCCTAGCTATGTGATTGGTGTTAAACATATCGTCACCCCTCTATCCAGCCCATTGTACCTCAACTAAACCTGTTACTTTGGATAGGCATATGCGACACACGTGACTCATCTAAGGCTTAGGTTGGTCAGTTCGATTTGGGTTAGCACTATACGAGATAATCTAATTTTCTCTCTTTTTATTGGTTTGAACTCATCAGTTGATTAAATTAGACAAGTTCGATCAGTTCAAACCGATTTATGGTGATTCCAAACCAACTTGACCGATTCAAATATAGTGATCTAATTAAAATTAATCAAATCTAAATAAGATAAGTTTAGGATGATTCTAGACCGATTGTATAATGATTTGAGATTGGTTCCGTCATGTCCTAATTGAATTGAGTTTGGTTTAAGCTAATTGAGTTATTCAATTAGCATTTTAGTTGATTGAGGATTATTGAGAGATTAATATCTCAAGTTTTTATTATTTGATAAGCTTAAAAATTATATTATTTAAAAATTATTATTATTATTTTAAAATTAAATTGATAATATTGATATGAATATTATCATGTAATATATGTGACTATGTTGAGTAGTCCATATTAGAAGTACAACATGTGAAAAGGAGCTACAAGTCCATCACAAACCATCAAAGGACATATTATTTTATTGTATAATTTTTTGGATGCATGCATGAACGAATGAATATTGTTGACCATGTATCCATGTCGAGAGTAGGTACGACGATTCCCTTCGAAAATTAGCAGGTCGCTAAATGGTTTCTCTATCAATTGTTAAGAGGAATGTGTCCTAACTTGGACGAGTGAGTGATACCACTTTATCCACTATTATGAGTACGATATGAGTTCTCTTCATTCACCGTTGGGAGGAATCAATCTTATGGAATATGTCTCTCTATTCATTATTGGAAGAGTACAATATTTATGCATGCCTTTATTATCTGATTATTATATATGTCATAAAGATGTGTTATATATAATTGATGCATGATTTTATTTATCGTATAAGAATTATTATTATTTTTTTAATACATAAGTTTTATAATATATATATTATGAATATTAAAGATTATTTTTATGATTTTTCAAAGATTACTATTAATGTGTGGTCGGTGATATATATATATATATATATATATATATATATATATATATATATATTTTATCTTATATTTAATTTTAGAATAATTTATACTATATTCGAGGTTTGGATAAAGGAAAATTTTTCGTCACTTATGGTTTTACTAAAAAGATACAATTTTTTAGCTTAAAAATTTAACATTATAAAGATAAAAAAAAATTAATTTTTTTTAAAAATAATAAATTATGAATAATAGAATGAGAGTTTTTTTTTTTTTTTTATAAACGTGGGACGATACATGAGCTTTAGAAAAGCCTCGTCTTTTCAGATAAATCTTGTCTTTTTCTGGCTTGGACTTTTCATTTAGAAGCACATATAACCAACGAATAGCAGGAGGAGCTGAATTGTTCAAAGATTCCACATATTATTCTGCTGAGAATTTCCCCTCACAAAGTTCTTCTCTAATTAATGTCTTGAATCAATTTTGTCTCATGCCTACTTAATAATAACACAGTAAATGTGGCCCTTTCCCTACTGTTTCAAGGAAAGAAGAAGTATCTCAAACCAGTCGTACGTTTTTCACTGAAAGCTAAAAGATGTAATAGAATGACGTCTGCATTTTGTTACAAATAATTACAATACCATTTCTATTACGAAGTATGTGTTCTTCATCTTATGGGGCTCACGAATTTACTTTTATTGGTCGAACTATGAACTGTTTGTCCGGAATCACTACTCCCCATCAGTCCCATCTGCTGAAAGCATCGACGTTTACCTGTATACTATCTCTACTTGACGTGGGATCTCCCCCTCTACTCGATGGCACGGATTGAAAGGAGGCGTAATGGACGGTGGATCCAACACAACGATAACGTAAGGCGATAATTAATTACTAATTACTACACACATTATTTATTAATTAATTATATATATATATACGTATAATATTAATTTTCCACAAATTGAATGAATACAAAAGAAGCCTGATTTCGTTCTCTCCCACCGTCTCTTTCCTCTCCGACGAATTGGGCCGCCGTGAGGGGACGACGGACGAATTCCCGGTTTCCAAAGGCAAGAAGACCCCTTTGGAGATTTGTATTCCATATGGTCGAATTCGGTGAGTTAGGCATCGGTCGCCACGGCCGCTCTGGTACATCTAGGTTTTCATTTTTCTTGAAGATTTGTATTCATTCTTGTATGATCTTTGTTTCGACTTTGGCGATCGATAGGATACGTCGCGACCTTTGAGTTTGAATCTCTGAATTATCTTTCTTTCGGTTCCTTCAGGTGATGAACAGGCCAAAGAAAAAGTCGCGATTTGTTCCCGTTTTGATCGAAGCTTGGATCCTCCGCGATGACGTTGAACTATGATAAGAATCTGTGATGTATTTGGCCGGTCCAACGTCGTCCTTCGCTATGAGGGTGATGGCTGGTTTTCTCTCTTCGGTGCACTCAAACTTTTCGCCGTCGGCATGGGCAACTATTGTTGCCGGCTTCTTTGTTCTTGTTGCGCTTTCGTTTTCTGCCTTCCTTGTATTCGAGCACCTTTCTGCTTACAAGAATCCCGAGGTTTTCCTTACCTCCCCTCTCCTCCTTGCCTCTGTGTCTTCTCATTCTGCGTCCATGAACTTTCACATGTCCGTCATCTTTTTTACAGGAGCAGAAGTTCTTAATTGGGGTCATCTTGATGGTTCCTTGTTATTCAATCGAGTCTGTGAGTATTTCTTTCATAATCTTGGACAATGTTGATGTTGAAACCATATTGCATCAAAGTTGGCAGCTTCGTTTCGTGAATGTTGGTGGTTACTCTGAGTTACAGAAGCTCGTCCGACCACTTCGGATGCAAGTGATTTTTTTATACAACTTTCGGATGATATTGACAACTTAATAAATTGGTCACTTTCAGGAAGTGCCACTTCTTTGCCTCTCACTTTGCGCCAACCAAAAATCCTTAAAATTACATGTTATTGGTGGAAATTTATATCGATCCTTCATCAAAAACTTTGCTGCTTTTATTTTATTATCGTTTTCTTTCCTCTGTAGATATGCTTAACATATATGTATTTTTTTTTCATATTGTAGTATGTGTCATTGGTGAATCCATCGCTCAGTGTTGATTGTGGTATCCTACGTGATTGCTACGAGGCCTTTGCCATGTACTGCTTTGGAAGATATTTTGTTGCTTGCTTGGGTATGCCTCTATCACGACAGGTTCTCTAGTTCAATTTGTTTTGGCTCTCATCATTCAAGAGTGAGAAAATATTGCTATTTCTTTTCTTTGAAACTTGTGTAAAGTTCTTGATCGATTATGGATATAGTTATAGGTTATGATATTTCCTTTTGAATATTCTAATTGGTCCATATATACTTGAGTAATTACCAGCTAGTCCTGATGCTTCCTTGAAAATCCTCAAAGGTTGAAAAGAAAGAATATTAATTTGAATGGCGTTGGGAGATCTGTGAATATGATGTGGTTTCTGATGGTGAAGTGTTGCATAGGCATTTGAAAACTATAATGGTATCAGGCAGCCAGCAACTTAAGATCCACCGGCTTACGTGAAGGGATAATAGGGAGAAGCATTCCATGTGCTGGATCGATCCAGTTGCATTCAGGTTAAAGATCTTTATTTAGTTTATGTTGGGTTCAAAATGGACTCGTAAAACAAGTCAAGACCATTACTCGTGTTTGAATTGGACTCGTGTTGTACTCCTGGTTGGATGTAGTTTCCACCGATGATAGCAATTTGGTTCAGATTCAGATCCGGATCCATCTATACCTGATCAATCTGGTTATATCCCTATTTCCACTTCATTAGTCAATATAAGATGGCTGCTTCTACCCAATGTTAACCTTTTAGGTCTTGTTGCAGATAGTCATATACCTAATTTGCCTTGAACGCATCATAGCTCCATTCAAAAAGGTCATATGGCAAGCTGGTAGTACAATTCCTACTTGCATTAAAAGGTTGCATCTGTTGATAATCGGTACGTTTATGTAGGTAATAAGGAACTTGAAACAGTAAATATCAATTTTCTTTCTTTTCCAGCTCTGGAACTTGCCCATTTGTTTCATTTACAATCTTTTTTAATGCACTCTAAACTCCAAACTACAATTTTCTCTTGTCAAATCTGCAATTCTGTGCATAATGAAGCATGCATCAGCTTCTTTCCTTGATGTTTATGCGCACGCTTTGCTTGTGGACTGTCAGTGCAGTTTTCTCTGGAACTGTTCCAACCCTTGTTATACCCATCTCAAAGATCATAGTTTGCAATGCTTTGTATATTGATGTATTTCTTCTTGGTAATCGGTATTTAGTAAACTTTGCTGGTTTAGATGGAGAAGAGAGGACATCAAATTTTGCCTTTGTTTTTGTCCACCACTATGCTGCTTCTTGATAATGAAATTTAATTATACTTTGCTGGTTTAGGTGGAGAAGATAGGACAATTGAATTTATGGAGAGGGATGGTTGTTCTTCTGCCGCTACGCCCCTCCTGGATCATGCTTCAGAAAGGGGCGTTATTCATCACCATTTCCCAATGAACTATCTTTTAAAACCTTGGAGAGTTGGCAGGTGGTTTTACCAGCTTATAAAGTTTGGAATTTTCCAATATGTAAGTATAGATGCAAGAAAATCCTTTGTTTTTTTTTTTGTGTAGAAACAGTTCATAACAGATGTCTTTTTTTCTTGCAGATGATAATAAAGACTATCACAGCAATTCTGTCTGTGATTTTTGAAGCTTTTGGTGTATACTGTGAAGGAGAATTCAAATTGGGCTGCGGGTAAGACAAGTTTGATTATATGCTCAAAACTTGGACTTTGGTGGAAATAGTTTGACATCATGTTATTGTTCTTCTTTATCGTTCACTTTCTACATAAGTTAATGAAGTTTTCTCTTTCCTTTTAATGTGGATAATAAGTCAGATCATGTCGAAAGGTTTCTGAAGATAATTGTTGGGTTCACTCTTGAGGTTTTCTTAGCATCAGGGTTTGCCGTACCGAACTGTACCGTCCGGTACGGGCGGTACATACCGGTCCGACAGGTTGTCGGTACGCGGACCGTCTTTTACCGGTCCGAGTGCACTGCAGCACTGTAGTAGTGCTACAGTACTAGACACACCTGGGTATACCGCTCAGCACACCTGGGTATACCGCTCGGTATACCGTACCATACCGATACCGAGCCCAGGTCGAAATACCGGTACGGTACGGTATTGCGAACCTTGCTTAGCATACACACTTTTTATTGGCCATGGTCAGCTGGCTTGGTTTGTTAGTACTTGTGTGTTACTTTCTCTTGTTTTCTTTACTAGGTACTCGTGAGCCTTACTATATCTGGGTTATTCTTGCTTTCATCAGCCATGACTGATCAATTTTCCTGTATATTATCGCCCTGGATATTTCTTAGTCGGAGGGTTCGAGATTCAGTAAAGGATGTAGAACCAGCTACAAAGATGCGTATCTTTGGTTTAATTTACTGGGAGCACATTATTTGACTGTATTATCTAGAGACATGCTGTGAAGCCTTGTGTGTGGGAACCTTGCATTTGCCTTGAGCACATGATTACAAATTGAAGATGTTATATACTATCCATACTAATATGATATACTCTCATTGCTCCTGACATTCTGGTCTTACAAAGCCTATCACGCATAGGTTTTTGTTCTTAAATGTGCACATCCTGTTTGTTAAGTGGAATTCATGGGCTTGGATCCCGTTTAGGTGTTTTACAGATATGTTGCAGGTAGAATGCTGTTGAAGGTGATGGTTATCTGAAGCTATTTTTTTTTTGTTCATCTGGTTCTTGGGTTTTTGGCACTTTACTCACAGGACAGAATTGTGGTTCCTTGTATGAAGCTGCTAAATTTTGTTTGGAAAAATAGGCTTAAAAGATAAAAACTGCTTTTAGTATAAAAGCCTTTATGAGGTTTCCTAACTAGTGAGCCACTTTAATTGTTGCAGACAACTAAGCCTTCTCTCTTTTGTGTTTCAGGTACCCTTACATGGCTGCTGTTCTCAATTTCAGTCAATATTGGGCCCTGTACTGTTTAGTTCAGTTTTACACTGCTATTAAGGATGAATTGGCACACACAAAGCCACTGGCAAAGTTCCTTATGTTCAAATCCATTGTCTTCTTGACTTGGTGGCAGGGTGTGACAATAGCACTACTCTATACATTTGGTTTGTTGAAGAGCCCTATAGCTCAAGGCTTGCAATTCAAGTCAAGTATTCAGGACTTCTTTATATGTATAGAGGTACTGTAAGCAGTCTTTTAGATGAGAATGTGCAATGTTCGATATATAAATGGCATAGGCAACCCGGTGAATTTTTTTGTTGTTTGATTTCAGATACTTTTATGATCGTTAGATATCTAAAAGCACCACTAGTTCCTTTCTCCAAATTTGATCATGACATTGTAATCCATCAATACATTTCTGAATAACCAAGTTCATCAAAATGCTCATATATTGTTTTGCTAGTTGGAAATTTCTGCAGTTGCAAGATTCATCTAAGCTGAAAGTTTTAACAGATTCACTTGTTCTTCCAGCACAGATGGCTGTAGCTGCTGTTGCTCACCTCTATGTGTTCCCTGCCAAGCCATATGAGCTATTGGCTGATCAGCCGCCTGGAAATGTTTCAGTGCTCGGAGATTATGCATCTGCAGACTGTCCTATTGACCCCGATGAAGTTAGGGACAGCACCCGACCTACAAAGCTGAGACTCCCTCAGCCTGATGTCAGTGCCAAATCTGTTACAGATATCAGAGAAAGTGTTCGGGATATTGTCGTAGGTGGTGGAGAACATGTAAGTCCATCCCATCTCTCATTATTTATTTGTTTTGCTATTAGAAAAATCCACATCATGGCCATATAAATCTGCTAAACTTTGTAAGTTTATAGTTTTACGCTGACTTGTATCTGTAATGTCACATCACAACTGAAGACACAGAATATATTGAAAGCCGCTTTGACTGAGTTCAATATTGAGTCACCCTTCGATCACATAAGACATGAGGTAGCCTCATGAAATGGCATCGTCAGTTAGGCATATAGAACAGTAGACCATGTAGGGTGTACTAGCTTGGCTGATTTTATGTGAATTTCACTATTTCTTAGACAATTTGCTGAATAAACATTTCTTTGCTACTCCCAACCAATAATCACAGTTGTGTCTGCAAATATACCTGATTGTCAATATGTTTTTGTTAAGAGTTTATATCTTTTCCCTTGCAGATTGTAAATGATTTCAAATTCACTGTAACCCAAGCCGTGGAGCCTGTGGAGAAGAGCTTCACAAGACTCAACGAGAAGCTTCACCGGATCTCCGAAAACATAAAAAAGCACGACAAGGATAGAAGGAAAGCTAGGGACGACAGCTGCATCACATCGCCGATGAGGCAGGCAGTCCGTGGGATAGATGATCCTCTCTTGAATGGGACCACCAGCGACGGTGGGGCTTCCAGAGGAAGACAACGCTCAAGAAAGTCAGGTTATACCAGCGAAAGCGGGGGAGAGAGTAGCAAACAGGGCCGTGGGGAATACGAGATTCATGGCTGCAGATGGGTCATAAGGGATTAACTCTGCCGCGAATAATGGTTTCAGTATCAACTGCACGAGAAGTTGTGTCTAATTCGGAGCATGATGCCACAAGAAACCATCTCCTTGCGTGTATATGTTGTGATAGATTCCATTCGTTTTTGCCATATTTGAATTGTATTTAGCGAAAGGCAAACAAGTAGTGACATGTCCGTTGGAGATACATCTTATGTTGATTCATTTGGTACGTGAGCACATTCTTTGTTTCTCTCTCAGTTCCGTGGTAGCATGGCACTTTGCCCACCTGTTATGCATTGCAAGACGGGTATTGTTCGATCTGAGTCTGTTCGATATAAACCCGATCGAAGGATAAGATCCTGAAAACCAAGTCAAATCCAATAGGAGATCGACCAGATGCATCATAACATCGGTTTATTTTCGTCAAACTGCAACATTTGACCCGACCCTGTTATGATGTAATCATAATATTAATATTCTGGTTGAAAACACACCAAAAATTGATTTGGATTGGTGGCCGACTGGGATCCGATTCATCATCGACGATGGTGGGCCAACGCGCGCATGCATGCAAGCGTGTCCGCCGTCGACGTGACATCATGAGTTCCATCATCCTTATCCGTATCCTCGGTCAACCCCAATTCGTGGGTCCCACTACGATTGGACGGATTGCCTTCCTAATTCCTTCGATCGGAAACGGTCCGATCTCGACAATTCGACCGTTGGAACAGGTCCCCACGACCCAACGCACCCCCCCACCCCAATATTTACATCCGCTCCTCCCGCAGCCCACAGTCACAAACATTCTCTCTCTTCTTCTCCCTGCGATTTGGAGGAGAGACTTCTTCGTCGCGGCATCGGAGGAAGCCTGGGATGGACCTCCGGCCCCAGTTCGCAGTGTCTCCACGCCGCCTTCGCCCCCGCCGACCACCACCGGCCTCCTCCTACGACGCTCCATCAGTTCGAGCCCCGCCGCCAGGTACCATAACGCACGACCACCTGCCTCACCCGCTGTCGCCCCCGTCATTACTCTTGACATGATGTATGTACCTCCTACAGCAACCTCCAAGAGGCCGCCGCGGCCGCACCGCTCGTCCATGTCCGTCGAGTCGCCGGCCCGGACCGACCGCCGGCTGGTGTCATCGGAGCTGGCGGCGCTGGTCGAAAGAGCGAAAGAAGAATTCCAGAGCTGCGGCGACGCGGGAGCTGCAGCTGCCGTGTCCTCCGGGGGCGGCTGCAGGAGCCCGGTGTTCGAACGAGGGCGGTTCTACGAGCTCTACTCGGCGCGGAGGAACGAGAGGCTCAAGAGGAAGAAGGGGGAGATGTCCGAGGAGGCGGTGGCGGAGGACCCGGGCAAGGCAGTGGAGCTTGCACGGAGGAGGGTGCCTAAGAAGGCGGAGGGGGCGAGGAAGTCGATGCCGGCGGACTTCTCGGTGGGCCGCGGCAGCAGCAGCAGCAGCCTGCGGTCGTCGGTGAAGAAGAGGCCGTACTCTGCTGCCGGTGTTGCCGAGTCGTCTGCCGGTGGTGGGCGGATAGTTAACGCCCGATCAGTGCGCAGGCTGTGAATTACCTTACAGGAACACTGGCGATCTTTCAGCTTAGAAGAATAGTTTGATTGGATGTTGTGTGGGTAGAAGAATCATTCATATCTTGGTTTTGGTCTCTCTCTCTCTTTTTATTTCCATTTTTATTTTAGACAAATTAAAATGGGAGTATAGGAAGTAAAAGATATCTGAAAACAGTGATTATATATTTATTGTAGTTGACGACGATGATGATGATCTTTTTTTTTTTTTAATGTATAAAATGTTCGTATTTTTTTAGTGGAATTTAGCTGCGTGGTGGAATCATTATTTTGGGAAAAGTTGGAGCAGGATGATGGTGTATGACAGCAGGGGAATATTTGATGAAACGCTTTGATTGATTTCCCAACATTAACTCAATGCGTGATTCTTTTTTTTGCCGGTGTGTAGGAGGAGAACTAAATTTATGATTATGGTATATATTAGTTGTCATAAATATAGAAAAATCTATGATATTAGTGAAAATTGATTATTTAATTTTAAATTAATGAATAAAAGAATGTATGTCAATCAGACTAATTAATCTCATGATATAAAAAGTGAATTCTCAAAATAATCAGTCTTAAATTTGTTATTTTTATGGTTTACAGAAAATTCATTGGAAGAAGTTTTTTAATAGGATTATAAAATTATCTTAATTTTATAATTGCAAATGACAAATTACATGGCTCACTCTGTTTTAAGTTTGTTGCATATTTTTCATCTTTAATTTTATAAAATTAAGAAGATACATAATCAAAATTATAGACTCGATATTTAAATTAATATAAACAAATAATATATATTTATAACGTTTAGGAAATAAATAAAAAAAGAAGAAATTTTATCGATCTTCAATCGTTGACTGAAATGAGTAAAAGTTAATTGGTGAAACAATTACAATCACATTTAATAATAGGATATTAATTATTTGATGGCTACATCATCATCATCATGCTTTACGGTTAATATTGTCATGTAGCATATTAACCTGACAAGCATCCGAATCTATGTCGGATCCGTCGTGACATGTCTTGCCAACGGCCACCTAGCAGATTCCCCTTGTCCACGCAGTGAAGGCCGACAGCGAGTCTTCTTCTTCCTCCTCCTCCTCCTCCTCGTCAGGTAATTCTCGAAGCGAGTCTCAAATACTTCTCGTTCTTCTCCTCACCAAATCTTTGCTTGAGATGCACCGTCGGGCGAGGTCAGAGGATCTGCACGGTTGTTCGGCAAATGCAGCGGTGTCGTAAGCGGACTTCATCAGTGTCTCGTCTTCTTCCTCCCTCGATCGATCCTCTTCGGTGCTGCGCTCATCTCGCCATGAAAACTGATGCAGCAAACTTTGCATCACTTAATTAATCGACATAAATTCTTGCTGGCAGTGCATTTATTGTTTGGATTTTTTTGCCTCTTAAATCAGTGTTAGATAGAAACACTTTTTGGGACTCAAATTCCAATCTTTAATATGGTAGAAATCGTATTATACCACTTGATTCAATCCCTCAAATATGTTCCAACCTTATCTTCCCAACAAATCTAAATCTAAAGCTATGATAATAATTCCATCCAAAAAGGAGAATTTGTGATAACTGAAAGATTAGGAATTATTTGATTCATTATTTATTATTTTTATATC